CGGAAGCGGCAGTTGCAGGGCTCAGGGTCTGACCGGGGGGCTGAGGGGGCCAGGACCTGGAGCTGTGGCCATGAGGTGGGTGCTGAGCAGGTCCCCGGCTGTCTGTGGCAGGCGGAGGAGTTTCACACCCTGGTGCACTCCTTCCTGGGTCGCCTCTCAGAGTCAGAGAAAACCCTCAAGTACGGTGTCTTCCCCGAGGAGGAGCTGGCTGTGCAGGAGTGCCAGAACCAGCTGCAGGTCGGTGCCTGTCCCTGCCAGCCCCCACCAGCCCCCGCCTCCAGGGTGGCTCTGTCCTTGCCTCAGGACATCCCATTGCCGGGGTCCGCTGGCCCCAGCTGGCCCCTGCCAGGGTGTGGGGTGCACCACACTGAGACGTGGGATGTTGGGTTCCATCACACCAAGACACGGGGTTTGGGGTCCCAAGCACCCTGAGGCCTGGAGATTTGGGGTCCCAAGCACCCCATGCAAAGACAGCTGTGCTCAGCGGTCGTGCTTGCTGAGCTCCACTCAGTGTCCTTCCCCTGCCTGCACACCTGGCTGGATGGAGGCTGCTCCCTGCAGCGTTGGGGTGTGCAGTGGGGTGCAGGGGGCTGAGACCCGGCAGGACTGAGTCTGTGCACTCCCCCCAGGAGCTGATGAAGTCCCTGCAGTGCCAGCAGCTGGAGCTGGAGTGCATCACCTCGCTGGGAGAGGAGATCCTCTCCACCTGCCACCCGGACTCCGTCATCACCATCAAGTCCTGGGTCACAGTCGTCAAGAGCCGCTTCCAGGAGGTGAGCTGGGCGGTCCTTCTCCATCCCCCCCCAGGCATGGAGCAGATCTGCACCCACGCCTGGGATGAGCATGGCCCCACGCCTTTCCCACTGCTGGTGCCTCTTTGGTGCAGCCCTCCTGACCGGCGCATTGCGGGGAGCTGGGGATGCTCAGCCCCATCCTTGGCCAACACAGACGTCTTGGTCTTGCCAGTGACCGGATGGCCCTGGCTCAGCTCCTCCTGCACAGACCTGGCCCTCCGTGAGCCGCCGGGACACACCGCCCTGGCCAGCCCTGGCCATCCCCTTGCTCCCACCCCTGCTCTCCCATCCTGGGGCCACGCGGGGGGTCACTGGGGCCTCTCCAGTCCCACCTGGATGGTGGTGACTCATTCCACACACGTGAGGTGGGAGATGCTGTGCAGCCCAGGCAGGGAGTCCCCAGAGAGCAGTGTCCCGGGGATCCCCATCCCGGACCCCACTCCCACAGCAGCTCGGAGGCTCCCTGGCATCATGGGTTTGCAGGCGAGAGCGCTCCAGGCTCTCCCTGAACGGGTCTGACAGGTTCGGCTGATCCCTCACCGTCGTCTGCACAAAGCCCTTAGTGAGCAGAGATCTTCGGTATCTGATCTGGATCTACTCCGGGGTCCTGCCACCCTCGGGGCTGCCCTCCTTGGCTGCTCGCCCCAGATAGCGAGGACGCGGCACAGCCCGGCTGTGAGGGCAGCCAGCACGTCCGCAGCGGTGCATACGTGGGTACCAGCATGTTTGGCTGCTGCCCACAGGGACGGACCAAGGACCCGTGCTCAAAGCGCCAGCCCCAGGAGCTGCAAAGGCCCCCTCGACACATGAGGGGCAGCGCTGTGTGTCAGCCCTGCCCCAGCCACCCAGCAGGAACTCGGTCCTGCCTCGTGGTCACGGGTGGACCATGGAGCCCCCACGTCCCTGCCCCACGTTCCCACCCCATAGTCATTAGAGCTGCTGGCCAGAGGTCCATGTGCCCCATGGCAGGGGTGGGTTGTGGCTCCCCGTGCAGAGACTTGTTCCCCCTGAAGCAATGGCCCTGCGGTGCCTGGGCGGGGCTGCCAGCACCGGGGGTTGGAACCGGGGAGG